TAGAAGTATTTTAGTAATCAAACGAGTGAAAACACACGAACATTAACGAAATACTCTACAAACGTTTCGGTTATTTAGCAACTAACTAGAGTATTTGTTAAAACATATGTGCAGAAGTTCGTTTCTGTTTTTTGATTATTAGAATAATTTTTGGTAAACCTCGCATCATTGGTATTCTAACACATTGTGCCCTCATCATCATCATACAGTTCCAGTTCCTCTTATTGACGTGACAACGTCTTATAATTCGATAGAGCCGGCTGCACGCACGAAAAAACATGACTCGTGCGGCGTTCCGTTTAAGGCTTGAAGTGCAAGCGAGAGCGCGGAACGAGCGACAAAGAGGCACAATCGGCCTTCGCGTTTGGCAGCGTTCGACATCTGTCTCTCTCCTACTTGAGTGAGCGATGCGTCCGCGTGGACAGCTGCTATACAATAATACATTTCTATTTACCTCCTTCTCTATATCCATACAAAATATCTATCAAACAAATAAAATTAAAATTTTCTTTTGAAAAATGAAACCATTCCATCAGTATTTTCTTATGACGTTGTCACGTTCAACTATCGTCAGTAAACCGACTTTACAGACAACCGCTTTTTTTTATTGAAATTTTCGCTTTCCTTGAAAACTAGAACAATACATATCTCTAACTTTGTAAATTATAATGGTTATCTATAATGCAGGTTTTAGCTCTGAACCTTTTAAGTCGTGTTTCATCTCCTAATATGTCTTTTACTTGCCTTTTATGTCTATTAGAAGCTTAAAAAGAGGGCAAAGAGACATTCTAAGAATGCCTTCTAATTCTTTAACTTAAGAGAGCCCAAAAAATTCCAAACTCCTTGGAAATGGATAATCTAAGATATTGGATCGATATTGTTTTCCGGGTTCAGTGTCATGTTCCATGGAATTCTGAAGTTCCAAATTGATATCAGCACTTGCCAAATCACTACTTGTCGTACCTTTAGCAAGGAACTACGAAATTCTGTGAATTACGACAAAACAGCCCGCAAAACAATATCGAATTGATATACGCCAGCTGTGTAAAACTGAAAACTATAAGATATTGTGGCGTGCTAATAAATATAATCCAAAATTCTTAGAAAACCATTCGAAAAACTTCACTTTTTAGATGAACCCAAAGCTAAAAAACTATGAATTTAAAGTCTTTCTTTTATTACAATGTGTGAAAGATCAGATACAAAATGGGGTTGTAAATATTTTCATATAAAATGATTGATGTTGATTTTACATCAATGTAATTATTTGCAACCCTATTTTGGCTCTAATCTTTCACGATAAGCAAACTATTTTGACATCAGTGTTTTTTGTCAATTAAAACGGGTGAAACAGGTAAATAAGGAAGGATATAAAAGAATTATTTGTTTCTAAACTGAAGAAAGTAAAACTAAAAACTATCTCAATCACTTCAAACAGAAAAATATGAATCATACTCAATCTTCGCAGCTAGTGATATACTACAAACACCGCTATTAGTCTAGAGAAACTTCAATGCTTGAAAAATGAGACAATGCCTGCAAGGTTTCCTTAAAAACTATTTTATACTTAAGTGAATATAGAAAATTAAATAAGTACTACAAAAAGATATTTATTAGAAAAAAGTATTTTGAAAATACGTGTTTTGCATTTTTAAAATACAAAAGTATAAATAGTTTCCCCTAACCAGGACCCTATAAAGCACCCACATGTGCCCTTTACAGGTTAACCTATTTAGGACCACGGAAGGTACCACTGCCAGGGCCCTGTAAGGTGGACCAATCCGAGTCGGAGTATTTGAAGCATCATATGCATAATCCGGTCCTGATATTTTTTTTTATTTGAGCCCTAATAGAAAAGCTGAGATGGCCGATCAGATTCGGATCTCAGTCCTACTTATTTTCTACTCAGGATCCTAAGTCAATATTCACATTTTCCTAAAGCTAGAGCATCCCACATCCTTAATTGCCTACCCGTGATCCTCCTAAATCCTGTTTCTGCTTCCAATAGGTCTCTAACTAGCGCTTAATATCTGATAAGGTACACCCTTCATTTTTCTAATGATATTATTCTTCTTAAATGATATCCTAAACTCAAACTTTAAATGTGGTACTTTCATGGCTCAATGTTCAGATACCTTAACATTTGGTTTTAAGGGTCCAAACACCATTTCAACGCATTAGTTTACCACATGAAGTATATAAGAACATAAAGGTTCATTCTTTCGTTACCAACGCAACATTCAGAGCAAATAAACAATAAAATTTTTAGTAAAGTATACAAAAATTGTCTTTGATCAAGCTACCGTTTCGGCTACAATAATAAATTGTCTCAACAAAACAGGAGTAGACAGACGAGCAAAAACAGTACAAAAACTGTGATGGATTCTTTTCACCACGTCTTGAGATGTAAGTAAATTTTTAATTTACTAGAATCGATGAGAAAATATTATTAAGCTAAGACAATAAACGCATTTGCACCTACACTCTTTAACCTTTAACAATAAGTGTGTAAACAAACAATATATAAACAAAGGAATATATTATAAGGGATGATGTTTAGATGTTGTTGGTTTCAAACAAGACACTTCAACATGTTGAGCTATGTTTAATTAAAAACGAGTACAGAAAAAATACAAGTTGCAAAAATATACCCATGTAGATACTCAGTGAATTGAATAATTGAATTGCATTGGATGAACTGCTTGAATTGAATGAATTGAAATACTTGAACTGAATAAAATTAATTGAGTCTTGAACTGATTTTCTTGAATTGCTTGAATTGAATGCGTTGAAATACTTAAACTGAATGACATGAGTGAATTGAAATACTTTTCTTGAACCTATTTCTAATTAAACATAGTTCAAGATGTTAAAGTATTTTGTTTGAAGACAACAACATCTAAACATTGGTCCTGCGAGCCGGATTTAGTGACGCGAACTTATTTTGAAGTGTATTTTGTATTCACGGAACTTCGTATGTACGAACTTGAATGTTTTGATGTTGTTGTCTTCAAACAAAACACTTCAGCACCTTGAGCTACGTTTAAGTACAAAAAAAATACAAGTTGCAAAATGGTCACTAAAATGGAATTGGATCAAATTCATTCAGTATCTACAAGTACAAGTACAAGTCTGTACTTGTTTTTAATTAAAGATAGCTCAAGATATGGAAGTGTTTTGTTTGAAGACAACAACAACTAAACAGATGACATAAACCATGTAGGTGTATGCATTTAGGATATACTTGAGTTCACTAAAAGAATATCGTTTATGACAACAATCGGATAATAATTTATTAAACAAATTTTTCTGTTTGTTAATATGATTTGCATCTTTTGATAAAAGCAGCCCAACTCGCTTATAACGAACACGGGCTATAACGAACACTTGGTTTAAACGAACGAAATTAACGTTTAATTAATTAATTAATTTAAACGTGTGTTATTTATACTTGGATACAACCAAAACATTTTTAATGATCGATCGGCTTTAGCGAATATTTTTTAACCGGAAATTAGCAGGTTCGATCGCTTATAACGAATCAATATATTTCCTTCGGAATATGTGTTATTGTGTATATAAAAGTTTGCTATTGTTTTATCAATAAAGATACAAATGAAAATCTCCAATAACGATAACCCAGTTATAACGAGCAAACTTTTTGTCCTTTGGTGTTCTTTAAAACTTTGTTTGAAATTTGCATACCCTATCTTTCTTGGTCAAAAAACAACGTCCAGGGTTACGACATTCGGATTTAACCTACTTATCTTTAGAAGTCATCACTAAATTATAGGGGCCCGTTGTGATTAAAATAATGTAATATAAGATCAAGGTCCTCGTTCCGAAAAACCGAAATTCAGTTTCTTCCAGTTATATTTTGATTTAGCAAATTTAAGCCATAGAAAGATTATAATTTATCCGTAGGTATTAAAAAGGCAAAAATTAACTAGTAGGTTGGTTGAAAAGATTTTTGACGAATTTATTCCACCCCTTCCAATGATCCTTTTTATCTTTACTCTTTGATGTCTGTATAAATGCTGCTCCATTAGGGAGTGACCTGTCTTAAAGACCACAATAGGTAAAACATGTTCATATTGAAGTCACATACAATTAATGATAGGAAAAGACATAAAAAAATTACTTCAAATCTTCGTTGTTGAAATGTCTATATTAATATTTTTTAATATTTCAACAATCACGTTGTAAAAATATCCGAAATTGACCAAATTTTAGATCAGCAAAGGCAATAAAATAAATTTGAAAATTTATTTTTTATCCACTACAAATTACCTAACATTAATGACAAAAAACAGTTACTGCTGAAACACCCTCGCCGGGAATCGAACCCAGGACGAATCAATGCCCTAACCATTATTCTACGAAAGGTAACGGTAATAACAACCCCGAAAGGTACTTATTAAGTCACAAATTCGTCTAACTAAAGTTTTTTAAAGCACACCAACAAACCTTCCAAATTGATATAGAATCTGAGATAACTTTTGAAATCACAAAAGATGCCTGTTTTTAGAATTTTACATTACCTTCAAGGTTTTCCATAAGAAATAACAAAATATCCAGATTCTAATCCTAATCTTAAACTTTATCCAATTTCGATTAACTCTACCGTATAGAAGATTTGTAGTAGTTCTTCAACTTAAATTACGTTCGTGTAACTGACACAAATATTGCTGATCACTCATCCCTAAATAGAAGGAGAAATGAAATCACGCAGAGCTAATTATGATATGCAGGATATGCAGTGCAATCCCCAATTTCTTTGTAAGAAACAAGATCATTTAGAAAATACACTCATAACCGTTTTTAATTAAAGAAAAAGAGCAGAAAATAGCTCGGCATTTTTCCCACTGTTGCGACACACTCTTCATTAACCACGGCACTCACAAACAAAGGAAAAAACAGCCGCAACGAAAGCACTTGTAAAACTAACGAGACGAATGTCCTTTATCCTTGTGTATATAAGTACGTCCCTATAAACTTACATGTCTCCGTTTTTGTCATTCTGACAACACCAAACCTCCTGGCTGTAGGCTGGCGGATAGGAAACTTCTGAGCCGCAATTCTCCTCAGACGGTAGGAACTGGAAAGTTTCGGGAATGTCCGAACTATTTTTACAAGGATCGCATTCCTTTTGGCACGAACATTCTGACCTCTCATGGCGATTAGAATAATCTGGAAATAAATAAATCCTAAAAAAACTATGGCTTATAAATTCATCTAAACTTCAACTAAGCACATCAGTACGGGTGAAAACCGACTTCAATGACGACCTTAATACCATATTTTATTTTATAGGGACAATCAAGCATTAATGAATCCTCTATCACTCGTAATCTTTTGTAAAAATTACTTTATACCTAATCTTGTATCGATTTTACACATTTCTCTAAAAAGGGAACGCAAACTTATTTATAAAGGTACAGAAAAGATAAATTTTTAATTACAAAAGCATAAAAATCATTACCAGACTTTTACCACACGGAATACTTCTAAATTTCCTAACAGAAATTTCTAGAGACGAACAAATGTACGCAAATCTTTCGTATCTTTTAAAGAGTTCAATGGGAGATAAATTATTTCAACTCTTAATTCTAAATAAATTCAAACTACGATAAAAAAATAATTATTCTAGTGTTGCCATATTTTTGTAAGTTACTGTCGGTCATTACAGTTCATTGATTTACGAGGCAGAATACTTTTGAAGTTCCTAACAGATACTTCCAGAGACGACAAAATGCCTGCAAACCCTTATTTCTTTTACTATCGCATTTAGAAGGGAATTATTTCAACTCTTAATTTAACATACACAAAATGATAGAAGAACTTCAAACCAGGATAACATATTTAATTTTTACAGAGTTTCAAATAGAACGAAACACCTGTGATTGTATTAATGCTTATAAGCGGCCATCTTTAGTCATTTATTGTTATGGTATTGTTGCCGCTGTCGGCCATTACGTTTTTCTCATTGTTGCCGGTGTCGGCCATCATGTCTCTTTAATTGTTGCTATATTGTTGTCATATTGTTATAAACTACTGTCGGCCATTACAGTTCATTGATTTACGAGACAGAATACTTCTGAAATTCCTAACAGATATTTCCAGAGACGACAAAATGCCTGCAAACCCTTATTTCTTTTACGATCGCATTGAGAGGGGAATTATTTCAACTCCTAAATTAACATACACGAAATGGTAAAAGAAATTTGAGCCCCGATAACATAAATAATTATTATGGAGTTTTAAATAGAACGAAACACCTTTGGTTCTATTAATGCTAATAAGCGGCCATCTTTAGTCATCCATTATTGTGGTATTGTTGCCGTTGTCGGTCATTACGCTTTTCTCATTGTTGCCGGTGTCGGCCATCATGCCTCATTAATTGTTGCTATATTGTTGTAAGTTACTGTCGGCCATTACAGTTCGTTAATTGTCAACTATCAATCAGCGAATACTTGGGAAGAACGATGCGTTTATAATTTTTAAACGCTATGAAGGTAATCTTGAAATGTATTTAAGTTGGAGACTAAGATGAAACGAATACAAATGACAAATTCCTAACCAAAAGAAATAAAACGAAAAAGGATTTCCTGAAAGCCATTTTCTGAGTAAAAGTGTTACATAAATAAAAGCCCAATATCGTTTCTAAACCTTTTCCGACACGGTATAAAAGGAGTTGTACAGTTCACTCAGATTTTATATGCCATTCGTGTTTTGCGTGGGTATATCTCCATATTTTTTACGAATTGGAATTCATATTCTCACACGTACCTAATCCAAAAGTAAAACGGAAGTTCAACGTGCCGTGACTTCAAGTCACATATTCCCCCTTATTGAAATTACTTTGGGAATAAAAAAAGAAAAGTAAATATCTACTATAGTACGTTTGAACCAAATGGTGAGGAATTTTGAATGTTATATTGGGCAGGTTTCTACTTATCAAAATTAGGTCATACACCTCTTAGTCTCGATAGCCTTAAAAGAAGTTTAGGTTAGGTTAGGTTAGGTTAGGCAACGATAGAATTACTGGTTGCCTATTTGAATTCTATGAATCAATCAGTTCAATGAAGCAATAAAAATATATTTCTTTTTGCTTGAAATTCATTTGTGACTACTAAAGTTGTATTTTACCAATTTGTGAATTAACCTTAACAGACAGATATATGTGATACAAAACTGTTCAAGAATTTCACAAAACGCCCTCACGTATGTACACGAGAAACTGTGTCTCAACTGTTTTAAATTGAAATCCCTTTCAAACGGTTTCACATGAATTGTGGCGTTGTTTGCAGTATGATGCACAGTAAACGTGAAAATAGACGCTATCGTAGACAAAGACGCGGCTATTATTTCTTCTTATAATGCAAGGTACCTATCCGCAACAATGCTTGTATACCTACCCATTCTTCTCATTAAGTGCATAAAGGTGCATTAAAGTTTGATGAAATGAGAATTTGGAGATTTTTCTAGACGAGTTGTGCAATTTGCATTTACGAAACATAACTCACGCAGATGCACTTAAAGCTATCTACTGAAGGCACTCTAAAAGGAAACTATATAGGGCAGTATCAACTTGTTCTCCAAAACAAGCAAAAATAGAAGAGAATGAAAAGTAGTTTTCTACATAGAGCGCAGACATTTGCGAAAAAAATCAGGGTCACGTTCGATATGCACACAATGGGATAATATTCCCACTTTATTACTTACAGATTCATACAGTATCCATAGATTAAGTTCTTGATCAGAATTCTGTCAAAAGTGGTGGATATCATCCTCACCGAACGGCTTGTCCCAGAGGTCTAGACCATTGCTTAGCATTCGGGAGGACGACGGTTCTATTCCGGGTCTGTCTGCTTTGGTCCAAGTTTTTCTGTGGTTTCCTTGGATCATTTAGGCAGTAGTACTCCACAGATAATCTTTCATTCTCTTCTGCCTTCATTTCGTCCGTCTCATCTTTCTCACTTGAACCACCACCCACCCAATCTCACGATTCCTGAAAGAAGGCTGAAGAGGGCCTTCCGCCCTACCTTCCGGTGTAGTCCGGAGGGACTGCCCGCCCCCCAAGATGCCATATAGTCAGTTTCGATCTTATTGCATAAAGTACTGAAAGCAGTCTGCACTACAGCAGCGTAATCAAACTCAGAGATAGATAGGAAGTGTGTCGCTTTATCCTTTCTCTCCAAACAAGAGTTGGAGAGATGCGGCTGAGGAAGTAACAGCAGATAGAAATGATTTAGCATCTATCTCTTCCGCTGTGGTAAATGATAAAAAACATTTGGATGTTTCATTCCCACCAGCTACTCATATTGATGGACGAACAATTCCTCGATACTGCGCGAGAGGGCACGATGAAAGGCCTTCTTCAGCCTCCTTTTAGATATCGTGAGAATGAGTGGGTGACGATTGGAATGGGAAAGACAAGGGAGACGAAATGGAGATAGAAGAGAGTGAAATATTATCTCTGGAATGTGACTGCCCCAGAATTTGCCTAAAAGATCCAATGAAACAACATAAAAACTGCGACCAGATGGACAGGAAATTGAACCAGTGTTCTCCAAAATGCTAAGTAATAGTCTAAAACCCTAGGCCATGTCGTTTGGTGTGATGTAGGATACTCTCTCCAGGATTCTATTGCTGTATGGTTCCGATAGAATTGAAACTGCTACTAGTTCATAGTAAGATTACGATAGATAGCCTAGTCATCGCTATCGTTGAAGATTTACGTATTGATGAGAAGAAACAAGTTTGAAATAATGATAATCTTCTGACGGTTACGGCAGAGAGCTTATTGTTTTATTCAACAGGCGTGCACATAGACTGAAGCTCCTGCCATTTTATTTTTACCAAGGATTTGGACATGAGACGGGCCGCCGCGAAATTCGTAGGAAAAATTGCTCAATTTTCTCCAGAGAGTCATAACTGGTGATGAATCATGGGTTTATGGTTATGGCGTGGAAACCAAAGCTCAATCATCCCAATGAAAGCTGCCGCTAGTGCCAAGACCGTAAAAAGCGCGCCAAGTTAGGTCAAATGTAAAAATTTTGCTCACAGGTTGTTGTGTTCTTGTCACAGGGTAGGACTGTTAATAAGGAATAGTATCTGAAGTTATGCGCAATTCGCGCGAAGCAATCGGCCAGAAACGCTCGGATTTATGGAAGAAAAAAAACTCATACAACTCTGCTTGTACACGAATTTTTGGGAAAAAAAAACACTCATAATGCTGCACCGTGTTCCCCAGCTCTGGCCCCCTGTGACCTTTTATTGTTCCCGAAACTGAAGAGAATCATGAAAGAACGACGCTACGCTACGATTAAAGTTTATATCTTTAATCGCAGCGTAGCGTCGTCCTTTCGGCATCGAAAGAGGAACTGAATAAGATCACCAAAAATGATTTTTTGACGCGCTTGAAACTCAAAACTCGCAATACTGTTTGAACAGACCTCGTATTTTAATTGTCTTACAGAAAATATCACCAATGACATGCATAAGCCTGTATAAGTGACAAGCTCACACCTGTTTAAAACATTTATTTTTAAGAAATTCACTTACGTTTTCTTTTGGACCGTTTGTAATCTTTTGAATCACTGTCGTCACTGCTGTAACATATTTTTCTTCTCTTATGATGTGGCGAATGATGATCGTGTTCGCCTAGTGAAACGGCCTCTTTATCTTTTGATGAAACGGTGGATGACGAGGTTAAACGCCAACGGTTGATTACAGATTTTGGACTTGAGTAAAGACTCGAGCATTTTCTGTCGTTCTTTATGGCATTGACCTAAAATAAAAAAAAGGTGTGAAAGCATTTTACTATTAATCAAAAATTAACCCTATCTTTATATTCGCTCATTCCCTACTTTTCTTTCCTTGCATACCAGTATTTATGTTTTACTTTTATTTATTTTCATACAATACTGTTTTGTCAATACCCCCTCCATTTTATTTAAGGCTATCTATCTCTAACTCCTTCTTGCTAGATGCTAATACTAGTAAATAATCTACAAATCTAAGCATAGTAATCTATTAACCCTGTATATCTATCCCTACAGTTGTCCTGTCTTTAATGATATTTATCCTGTCTTCGATCTATGGATTAAAAAAGACGGGTGAGAGTGAACATCCTCTTATGTCTCCCTTTCTAATATTTACTTCTCTACGTTGCTGCTCTAGCTTTACAATAGGTTCAATACCACGGAAAATCATAAAAATGCCGATTTTAGTCTTAGCTTTGTAGTTTTCCATCTTTGTAGAGAAACAATTTAGGAAAAAAACATTTGGAAGAAAATGATGAATGAGCTCGTATAGTAGGTACTTAGCGACATGAATACAAGAAAAATTATCCTTTAGAATCCTGTAGTTCATTCATCACTCTGAAATCTTACATTTTGACAATAAATAAAGCAAATTACAATAAATTACCATTTGCTGATGATTCTCGAATAAAGTCATTTAAATGAGAAAATGAAGTGTTAGAATCCTATGTAAATTCATGCAAAGATAGTTTTACAGATCTTAATTGCATTTTAATGTGGAATGTAATCTGCTATGGTAACAAGAAATTTATTTCAAATGATAAAATGAAGATGTTACAGAATTTCGGGTCGTAATTTTATCGTTTTGCACTTAAAGGCAGCGGCACAAGACTAACTCAGCACTGGTAAGGGGTAACAATTTTCTGTTGTTGAGGTAAATAAAACAAATTGGAAAATACGAGTATTTATGTACACGTGGTCGAAATTTTACTTCTTTCTACATATTTATTTACCCAATATACATCTTATATGTATAAAAGAAAGTCGTGTTAGTTACACTATTTATAACTCAGGAAAGGCTGAACCGATTTGACTGAAAATTGGTGGGGAGGTACCTTAGAACATGGCATAAAACGTGGTATAAGAAAACGCAACTGACAGCAAAACGAAAAATTTATCAGTCAAAATATCAGTCTAGCCGTTCATTTGTTAAAAATTGTAGAACAAAGTGAAGAGGAGTTGCGATGTTTAAATGGAATATATACTATTTGTGGTCAGATTTACTTGAAACTTGGTCTTAATGGTCTCTCATGTAATTTCTGAAAGATCTATCTCGACATTTTAAAAAAAATTCAACTTCCTGGGGGGGGGGGTAAAAAGGTGTTGCAATTTTTGTTTGGGACATACTTTATTTGTGGTTGAATTTACTTGAAACTTAGTATACGTATATGCCCCGAGATAAAAATGTTCAGTCTCTCAGAGTCTCTGAAAGCGAGACTCGAGTTTCCGTCTTACATCGAGAGACTGGCGAGAGACTGTCAAAAAAACTGTTTCGCGTCTCTGAACGAGAGACTCAAATCTCTGAACGAGAGACTCGAATCTCTCAATAAAGTGGTGTCTCGATAAACATGGTTAAAATTCAACATATTTCACAGATCCCAGTCTTCCTACGAGAGACTCGAGTTTCTCAATTTTTCACTTTTATTCATTCAGTCTCTCTGTGAGAGACTCGAATCTCTGAATTAACAATTTTATCGTTCGAGTCTCTCATACAGAGACTGTGAGAGATCCATAAAAACACCTAGGCAATAACTGAGGGACTGTGAAAGAGTGTGAGAGATTCTCTCAGAGACACTGAAAGACTCTGAGAGACTGGAGAGAGACTGAAAATTTTTGTCTAGGGGCTGTTTGATATTATAAATCAAATGAAGAGGTTGCAACGTTTCCATGGGGTATATTTTATTTGTACTCGGATTTACTCGAAAGTTGCTCATTCTTGGAATTAAGCAAATACGTGTTTTGGCAATTTTTAAAAATCAACCCTTAAGGATGGAATGTTTTTGCTACGTTTGTATTTGAAATCTAAGATGGCGACATTACATAAAATTAAAACGTTGTAAGGGTGAATTGGGAGTTAAAAGGTTTTATAGAGAAACAATATTAATTTCTGCGAGCGAAGCCAAGGGGGAAAAGCTAGTATAATAATATCGTTACTTGGGGGAAAAGGTCATTGCAAATGTTTTTTAGGTAGAAATTGAAAAGTATTACTATCCAATTACCTTATTTTGAACGAGGGTCTTAAGGAGAGCTTCGAGCCGTGTAGCTTCCAAATAGGTGGTATTTTCGACAAATTTGGAACACAAATCTTCAGTACTGACGGCTTTATCTGCCACTTCCATATTATGTGGCTTCAATGGACATCAGCAGGCCCTTATAACGAGCTAGAAGTTAGTTGCTCAGATACGGTTTCAAGTCTGGAACTATACTCCATGAAACATCTGGAACAAAAGGTCATAGGTCAATATATTGCATTCACGTTATATATGTTAGCCTAACTCAACATCACATTTTCGAAAACAAGGAAAAGTTGTTCTGCATTATTAATTATTTTAAGTCATTTCCTTTAGAGCAGCCAAATAATTAACAAGGAAGTTAGTAAATGATTTATTAATGACTTGAAGATGTAATATATGGTTCAGCTTTGTCTAAAGCTTGAAATAGAATGCTGAAGTGGTTATAGTTATAAAATCCGTTTGCTTTTGGCCATCTGTTTTGACTTGTAAATTAAAAGACGAATTTTAAAAATTAAATAAACTCTTAAAATTTCCACTGAATAATATTCAAACACTGCATGGCTCTACCATAAGATCTTTCTAATTCTATCGCTACTCGTCTCCTTCAATACGAGAACATTTTAATGTCTTTATTACATCATCAAAATTACCTTTTTCGAGAAACCTCCGGATGATATCTGATCGAATAAATATCAACAATAAAGCTTTCTTTTTTACTTTATGTCTGTTATGTTACGAAAACACAAAAGGAGTTTTTCATGTTGTGGATAAAATATACCTTTAGTCTGCTTTCTGCCAATCAAATTCTAACTGATGTCACATTTATTTTCGACGACAAAGACTGAAAACCCCGAAAAACTTTTTCATTTAATCATTTGAACAAGAACGTTACCGAAAAACGTCAATATCGTTCTTGCATGGGTTTCTAGTTTTCAACAAACCTTAACAGGGTTGACAATGAACTCAAGCGATTCTGTTGTTACTAAACTACAAAAGGGTATGTTTTCGTTTTTTTGTGCCGATTTCACTCAATTTGTTTTTTTTGTAAAGAAACTGTTGCCTGTAATGGCATCATTCCAATTGTTCATAATACTTAAAGACGGTTGTTATAACTAAAAAACAATTTAAAAGTAGCCTATAAACACTATTGAAAACCTTCTCTTTATGCATGTTAACAATTCCATCGTAATCTGTTTAGCAGACAGACCTAACTGTAATTAATGTCTCAGTGGTATATAAATAACGATATGAGTTTGATATTAAGGCTAGGGTAGGAAAAGGCAACACTAACGAAATTAATGTTACTATGATAATGTCCTTAAAGTTTATTAATTTATTGATGTGAATTAATGAACAACACGCAAAACTAACATCTAGTCCTCTGTTTAGTTACCCGAGTTAAAAATATTGAGTCTCCCAGAGTCTCTGAAAGTGAGACTCGAGTCTCCGTCTCCCATCGAGTGTCGCTGAGAGAAACTGTCGAGAGACTCGAGTCGCTCATAGAAAGATCCTTATTTCGTATCCAGTCTCTGAACGAGAGACTCGAATCTCTGAACGAGAGACTTGAATTTCTCAATAAGTGGTGTCTCGATAGACATGGTGAAATTTTTCTATGTTCAACATATTTCAGAGATCCCAGTCTTTCTACGAGAGACTCGAGTCTCTCAATTTTTCAGTTTTATTCATTCAGTCTCTCTGTGAGAGACTAGAATCTCTGAATTAACAATTTTATCGTTCGAGTCTCTCATACAGAGACTGTGACAGATCCATAAAAACACCTAGGCAATAACTGATAGACTGTGAGAGATGCTCTCAGAGACGCTGAAAGACTCTGAGAGACTGTAGAGAGACTGAAAATTTTTGTCTAGGGTATGTGTGTTAGTAAGCACGTGGCTAGTTCAAGGACGGAATCAGAACTGATGCTGATTCTGGCCTCGGCGGTTATAGCTATTCGCTGATTAGGGTGAATTCGGAACCCAAGCAATGGAGACAGTAATCCACGGTTATATTATTATATAATCTCAAACATTGTACGGATAAGTTTTCTACCATAATAACATCGAATACTACAAAAAGTTTGAAGTAGTTAAATGCTTTTTGTTAGTTGGAATACCAATTCGGACTTACCATATCATATATCATTTAAATTGTTAGTACCGAAACGATAATAATAGATAGTCAAGTATTAGCATAGCAAAAAGGACTTACAGTTTCTTAAGCACTACATTACGTGACATTTACTGTTCGAGAAATGTTTGTGATATTTCAACTTGTTATTTTGGTTCCATCAGTTGAACCATCAAAATAGAAAATGACTTGATTTGCAGAGATTGAGATTAAGCTATTTCAGTTGATTTCGCGCATCAACGCTACCTATTTTATATGTCTGTTTTTTATAAATCCAGGGAATAGGCAATAAAGTTGTTTTTACGTCTCCTAAATTTTTTATTGTCGACTACATTTTCAGTGGTAGAGATAAACGCAACTGATCGTTCTTCATAAAAAACCATTTGTTTACAACACCCCCAGGATAATTACAGATGAAATTGAGACAATCAAATATTTACATCAATTCGTTTTTCTGAAATGCAATAATTTTATTTTAGTATCTGTATTTGCGAAAATATGCGTTTTTTCTGTAAAAACCTAACCATTGTATTAAGAGAACCTTTATGCAAATGAATTTGACAATACTACGAAAATTGTTTTTATACTTAACACAACACTGAAAAAAACTGAGTGACTTCACAAAGCAAAGGCCGTCGGATCAGGATGTTTTACAAGACAGCTGAAATACTACGAGGGTGGATTGATAAGTTTCCGGCCTAACCAAGAGATGACGCCACTAGGCCTACCTTGAGGTGACATTCTATAGTACCATCCTGGGATAGCTTGTAGCTATAGTTTCAGCCCGATCTCCTTGCTAGTGTAGGTTTGACAGCACGCTGAACAAGACGCCTCTGTGGTTTTCGTAAAAATGGAAAAGCAGGAAAATCGTGCTGTCATCAAATACTTTTATTTGAAGGGGTTAACGCCGAAGGAAATTAAAAAAGAGATGGACTCAACACTGGGGACATCCTCCCCGTCATATTCAACCGTTAAGCAGTGGGTTTCCGAGTTTAAAAAGGGTCGTGTGAGCACCTCTGATGGGCCTCGCTCAGGACGCCCCGTTGAGGTCACAACTCCAGATATGATCGAAAAAATTCATCAAATAGTGCTGGGAGACCGCAGATTGAAAGTGCGTGAGATAGCTGAGACCTGTAAGATGTCATATGAACGTGTGCAACATATTTTGCACCAACATTTGCATATGGAAAAGCTCTGTGCAAGATGGGTGCCGCGTTTGCTAACAGTCGACCAAAAATTGATTCGAAAAAACATTTCTACCGCAAATTTGTCATTGTATAAGCGTAATCCAAGCGAATTTTTGCGTCGATTCGTAACCGTTGACGAAACGTGGGTCCACCACTACACTCCTGAAACCAAAGAACAGTCTAAACAGTGGATTGGACCAGGGGAACCAACTCCAAAGAAGGCAAAAACAATTTTTTCGGCGAACAAGGTTATGGCTACTGTTTTTTGGGATGCAAGAGGTATTATATACATTGATTACCTTGCAAAGGGTAATACTATCACTGGTCAATACTACGCAGACTTATTGCAACGTTTGAGCCACGAGGTGAAAATTAAACGACCTCATCTGGCGAAGAAAAAAATCTTGTTTCATCACGATAACGCACCAGCGCACACGTCAATCGTTGCGACGGCTAAAATCAACGATCTAAAGTTTGAATTGATGCCGCACCCTCCTTACTCTCCAGACCTAGCCCCGAGTGACTATTTTCTGTTCCCTAATCTCAAAAAATGGCTTGGCGGTAAGAGATTTGCGGACAATGAAGAAGTAATCGAAGCTGTAAATGGTTATTTTGAGGAGCTTGACGAATCAGTCTATAGAGATGGCATTAATAGACTGGAACACCGCTATGAGAAATGTATCAGCCTTGGAGGAGATTATGTTGAGAAATAAAAAAAAAAAATTTTTAAAAACCTTGTTTTTCTTGGTCAGGCCGGAAACTTATCAATCCACCCTCGTATATTAGACATTTGAAATTCAATATTAAATATTAATGTTAATATTCATCTTTAATTTTTATCCACTGCATTGATGCATACAGCCCGGTTTCGATTCCTGACGAGGGTGTGACAATAGTAACAATTTCTACTAATTAACTTGAGGTAATTTATAGTAAATAAAAGATAAAATTTTCTCATTAATATTTACAATTTAAGTAACGAAAAAATCAATTTTGCTTTCAATTTTGTTTTTCCAATTTTTTTTCTTAACGTTTCAACTTATCTCATAAATACTTTCGTTCTTTTTCTATTCTTGAATCTCAACAATAATTCCTATTTTTCGCCATCTACGATTATTTCCTTAGTCAAAACGTTTAAACTGTTAGTCAAAAGTTTATCGAAACTATTAAGCGCGGATAACGATTTGGATTTTTTATAGATCTCATCCGCGCGCCCCATGTAGTCTTGATAAATTACTTACCTTATCTCATAAATACTGTCGCTCTTTTTCTTTTCTTGAATCTCAACAATTATTCCTATTTTTCGCCATTTACGATTATTTCCTTAGTTAAGACGTTTAAATTCTTAGTCAAAAGTTTATCGAAACTATTAAACGCGGATGACGATTTCGATTTTTATAGATCTCATCAGCGCGCCCTATGTAGTCTTGATAAATTACTTACCAAACCGTAGAAGAACCAACAACATAAACGATATTATTAATTGGTTTACGTGCCTATTACGTATAAAAGCTACATCGTCGATTAAAAACTAATAAACACTTTTTTCTTTCATTCCCACTTGCTACTAATGCTGGTAGGCGGGCACCCGTACAGTCCCTCCGGACTATGCTAGAGGGTAGGGTGGAAGGTCCTCGTCAGTCTACTTCTAGGAATCGTGGGTGAGTGGTGGTTGGGAAAGATGAGATGAACGAAATGAAGACCAAGGGGAATGAAAGGTTAATTGTGGAATATTACTGCCTCGCCATTTGTCTATGGAATCCCAGGAAATGAAAGAGAAGCATGAACCAGGACAGACGATGTCCTCCCGAATGTCAAAGGTCTAAACCTCTAGCCTTTGCTGCTTGTTAATAATGTGCATAATAATACACTAATTGGGCCTACCCAAAT